CCCCTCCACTTGTTCGTCAGCGGGGTCGAAGACGCTGCAAGGACACGTTTCGATGCGCGCCGAATGGATTCTTATTGGAGGAGATTTAGAATGACCGGTCACGGGACGAATGCTTGCCTTCCCGTTGATCATTCGTTTTTCGTGTCCATGAACACGTATTGCGCGGTTACCACAAAAAGATTTGGTCCCCCCCCAGGTAAAGTGGTGGTCGTCGCGTGTACCCGACGACCGTGTAAGATGTCAAGGACTCGTGTAAGATGTACGTACTTGGGTAGCTTCAGCCTTTCGAATAGTATTCTGTAACGGTATTGTCAACAGCCATTCCCTGTGCATTCAACTTTGCATTTATTTTCGTACTGTTACACGACACTGACTCAATCTGTGCAAAAGTAATCCTTGCGTAGTTACCTTGTTCGGTGAAACCTGGAGGAGTCAAAGTTCTTTCAATACTATCCCACGCACGCGCGTGTGTGTGTGTACACTGCCGTTCAGAAGTATTAGGATACTTACTATGTTCGGAGATGCGAATTACATTTCTTCGCCAAAGTTAGTATCGTATCGTCGACTTAATATGCACCGATAGTGGATATCTTAAATTCGTTAGCGAGTTTTGGCGTTAAATATGGAGTTAGACTTATCCACTACTGTTAGAATTTCAAAGGAAATATGTCTTCCGATTCACTTATCCAGAAATTAGGGAAGAAAGTGCGACGAAAAAAAGTAAAGTTGAATTATTTCGCTATTTTTCGAACTTATGAATGAAGCTACGAATGGAGCATGAATTAGCGATAGTATTAAGGTGGCAATATAAAAGTTTGGGCTCACTGTGCATTGCAAGTTACGCAAAAATTTCCAAAAATTAGTTAGCAATTTTAAGAGTATTTTAACGAACTTTTTATCGTTCAAATCAATCGAAGTGAGGTAAATTGCTATTGATCTCCGCAACATCAATTTTTACGTAAATTGTCAGATGATTTCAAACTTTTGACCGTTTCCTTTTTTTTTTTTGCTTCTTAATAATTTTGTAATAACTGTTCAGATTTTCGAATATTAATTGTGTGAATGATTTTCCTCTTTCTATTAAAATACCTGTAGCGAGTAGAAAAAAGCAAATTATTCGTGTCGCTACGTCAAAAAGTATTTTCAACTCTGATATATTGGACTTCGTAACCTATATTTGCTGAAAATATTTTCCTTAATTTTCTATCTGTGCAAATTCGCAACTTTTCCCTAATCATCTCCTGTACACAATTTCCGTTACCACGTGGAGTCTCTGATCAATCAGATTGGGAAAGAATTAGAAGTCACACCACGTGATTGCAAATGGCCGTTCTTACTGACGTACGATTATGTAAAAGAATAGCAAGTTACAGTTCCTGTAAAATCTTGTTCAAATCAATATTCGAATTTTGTAAAAGAGATTTCCAATATCTTCATCTACGTGAAAGCCCAAAGCGTGTCGAAGGACGAAGAGGAAGCTCGATC